CGACCACACCGTGCCTTCCTTCCTAAGGTGGTGTCTTGGTTGACATGAAAGGCAGACATCTTCCTTCCGGTCTTCTATCCAAAGCCGCACGCTTCTTGACGAGAACAGCTGCACTCCCTAGACGTTCGCAGGGCCCTCGCATTTTACATCGAATGAACGAAACGTTTTAGGAGGACGACCCAGCTGTTTGTAGCTGTGGCAGACCGGATGAAGAGCCTTCCGGTCTCCACGCAGCGCATCTCGTCCTGGATCACATCATGCATCTGTGCGTGCTATGACTTGGCTGGTGTCCCAACTACGCACCTTACTGCCCGCTCCATTCAGGCTCAAGTTTCGTCCTCCGCCTTCCTGGCTCATGTGCCCATACAGGAGATCTGTAGGGCAGCAACTTGGTCATCTGTACATACCTTTGCTTCCCACTATGCCATAGTGCAGCAGTCCAGGGGTGATGCTGCATTTGGTTCAGCGGTCCTTCACTCCGCCACATCTCACTCCAACCCCACCGCCTAGGTAAGGCTTGGGAGTCACCTCATTGGAATCAATATGAGCAAGCACTTGAAGAAGAAAAGATGGTTACTCACCTTTGTAACTGTTGTTCTTCGAGATGTGTTGCTCCGATCCATTCCAAACCCGTTCTTCCCCCTCCGTCGGAGTAGCCGGCAAGAAGGAACTGAGGGGGCGCTGGGTCGGCCGGGCATATATCCGGCGCCATAAGGGCGCCACTCCAGGGGGCACCTCAGACAACCCACCGAGTGTTGCTAGGATAAAAGCACGTGCACACCTAATTGGAATTTATGAGTGTAACATCTCGAACAACAGTTACAAAGGTGAGTAACTGTCTTTTTTGCTTCTAACATAGAAATGCATCCTCTTGAGTGAGGTGCTGCCTAGATGCCATGGTAACTCTAATAAATGATGGCTTGGGACTGATCTACCTGAGATGTTTTCCTTCCTTTGCCATACTGCTGCCACCACCACAGTCAGTGAGGGTGCTTGAGCTAGAGCCCACCACACTTTCTCTGTACCTAGTCCAAAATAACCTAAATTGGTTGGCCTTCAGGGCATGCTGCAAGGTCTGCCTTAGGGATGTAAATACCGTTTTAAAAGTTAACTATTTAAACGATTAAAAATATCGTCTGGGTATGGCGGCCAGGGTGGCCTGTCCCGGGATTAACCTTTTTACATCCCTAGTCTGCCCATTTACCTAATCTTTTGGTTTTTTATTCTAGTTTGGGGAGAGACTTTGTCAAGAGTTACAAATCGGTTTAAGGCCTGTACCTGTAGAGCCCAGGATAGGAACTGCTTTGTACTCTGCATTTACTTAAGTCAAAGATATAGTATAAATGTTGAAAGGGAAGTTGTAATTGTAGGTGTTAGTAAAACTAATAATAAACTTTTCAGAAAAAATTTAGTAGCTGTTTTGGGGAATAGATGTATGAATTCTGTATGAGGCTAACAAAGTATATTGGGCATAATTGCTTATTATTCCAGCAAATTGAAAAGCTTCCTGCCTCTGACTGTTTCATTTAAATGTATGTAGACATTAAAAAAGCATCTATCCAGTGCCCTGAGTGCCTTTGCCATATATGGGGAAAAATAAAAAATGAATGCAGCTGCCTCCCTGAACATTAAAAGAGAAGAGGAAAACCGCTCCAGTTGCAGACTTCCCACCCTCACTGCATGCATTCCAGCCCAATGCCTGGAAAATGTTCTACAAAAACTATTTCTTATCGGACTGCTGATGGCAGCTACCTGCCTTATTACTAAAATCACTAGGTTTTTTTGTCTTGTTTACAGCGGGAGTGCAGTGATTATTTCCCTGTATTTGTCCTTTTAGGGAAGAGGAGTAGTATGTTATCTGTCTTACCGTTCATTGTAGCTCTGTCTATGTCTAATACTTTCTAATAGTAATAATTTTCACTCTTACTCTGCAGACCTCTATCTTCATTGCTGGTAATCTCTTTATTAGCTTCCCTGATATGGCTTAGCTTTCAGGGGAGTGGTAGTCTGTGTTCGTACAGCACTTCTCTTAAATGGGGAAGGTTCTGGTTTTTAAGGAAATATAACTATGCCAACAAAAGACCTGGTGTAAATGCAGTTATACCAGCAAAAAGTCTTGTAGCTTATTCATTCAGGAAACTGGCTTAAACTATTCTTAAACCAAAGAAAACTGTCTCCATTAAGGAGGCATTGGAGGTATAGCTATACCAGCAACCCCTTTTAAATGTAGGCAAGGCCTAAATATCTGCAAAGATTAGAGCAGGCGTTCTCAAACTGGGGGTCGGGACCCCCTCAGGGGGTTGCAAGCTCTCCACCTGCACCCCAAACCCCGCTTACCTCCAGCATTTATAATGGTGTTAAACATATAAAAAAGTGTTTAATTTATTTGGGGGGGGGGTCACACTCAGAGGCTTGCTATGTGAAAGGAGTTGCCAGTAAAAAAAAGTTTTGAGACCCACTGGATTAGAGAGACAGACAGACAGGATTGACTCTGAATGTGGGAGAGGAGAGACTCAATATTAGAACACCCAGGGAAGATTTTAAATGCCCAAAACAACTTCTTAAATGAGACTGAAGAAAACACAGGGCATTTCTTGAGTAGTCAAATACATTCCTCCTTAATACAATTCACAGTTGATTAGTCTTCCCATTCTTTCTTATGTGCATGCATAAAAGGAAAACACCAAAAGATGATCTGATAGATTTTGCTACAGCCCGAGAATTTAAAAATAGAACCTGATCCTAAACCATAGTCCCTGACAAATGTGCATGGCACCTTTGGATTCTTGGTGTGTGTGTGTGTGTGTGTGTGTGTGGTTTTTTTAAATAAATGGTGTGACCCTATCCTGGATTGTTTGTTTATTTTATTCAATGGCAGTGGGACCCTTTCATAGTCTACATGCACAAGAGGAAAGAGTGAGGCATTATTGCCTGAGTTACGTATCCTTTTATGGAAGGAAAACATGCCTTTTTCATGTTCCATTGGTTTTTCTCAGCGCTCTGAGCTGAGGGGTGAAAACATTATTTACTTCTTTCCTTTGGAAAAGAATGCTTCAATTACTGGTATGCTAGTGACCTTTCTCCTCAGTTACATGTAATGCAAAATGCACTCCTATATCTAGTGTACAGTCTCATTTTCTTGGAATGTAGTTGGCCATACATTTAGATTAATTCAAATAAAACATGGCTTTTCACTATGATTTCCTCCCCCCCTACCCCCTGCAGTCTTTAGTGAACTTCAGCACTAGGGAAGGGAGGGAGAAGGGAAATATTTAACTACAATGCTAAGGTGTTTGGCTCAATGTGGCTTAGAGTGGAAGACTTTGTATTCTGTAAGCTGCTGTTACAAAAACTTATTGTTACTGCTCTAAAAGATTTAAGCTCATGTACAGCAAAAATGTTTCGAGAACCAAGTGTCCGTCCTTTAAAACATCTTGAAATTACAAATGAAAAACCCAAAAGGTGAGAGCTTTATGGCCTTCGAATAAATGTTTGAGACACTGAAAATTCAGATTTATAGTTTGACTTCTGTGCTTATACACTGCTATTGTGTGAAGGATATTAGATAAATGTGTCCACATCTTGGGAAAGGAAAGTATCTGGAATTTAGTCAGCTCTCACACTTTGCAATAAAAACTAGCTTGGCTCTTACCACTAATCTAAAAGAATAAATGTTACCTCTTTTTGAAGATTTAAGAGGAAATACTATGCGATTATTTGAATGTAGAGTGAGGTTAACAAAATGAAATTTGTCACTCCAGCCTGTTACCACTTAACAATCCAAAACCAGTGCCTTTGTAACCACTACATCCCCCTGTTAGTTTATCTGCTTTCCTAAGCATTAGGAATTGATGCAATATGGCGGATGATGTCCAGGTCTATTGTCAGTATCATAGGTCAGGGCAATTGCACCTGTATTTTTTCCCTTATGGTCCTACAGAGGCACCCACTTCTAGGCTTCTGCTCTCCAGCAAGTTACCTGTTTTGGTGGGGAGATGCAGCTCTCTCCTTTTTGACAGGAGTATTTCGAGGCTGCACAGTTCCCTGTCTACACTGTGAATTCCCCAGCAAAGTTGGACTGCCTAAAGTAGGCCTGATTTATATCCTCTGAGGAGAGAAGCAAACAGTGTAACTGCTACAGTTAAGTTATCACACAGCTCTAAGCAAGCATTTATTCTCAAGATAAAAGTATTTTACAGTTTTATAGAAAACAGAGGGGTTTTTTGTTGTTTTTTTGTTTTAAATTACACACGTGCTAACAAGTTTACTAGAGCAGTTCCAGCAAGGGCTCTAGCAGGTGAACAGTCCTTCAAACCTCACCAAGGGGTTTTCTGTGGATACAAGTTCATGACTGCCTTGGCTCAGAACAAGCATTCCTATGAATTAGAGACTCACTCCAACCCATTTTGCATCTTTGCTCTGCAGAGACTGTGAATAGGTAATCGGCCAGATAAAGGTTGATTTCAGAGGTGGGTAGTTAGTGTTCTCCTCAACTGTCCTGGAAACTCACTCACCTGCCTGACCCATTATTTTAAGTCTTTTGAAACTCCGTGCTTCCAAGTGTTGACATTAGTGCTCTCTTCTCCATAGAAGTTAAATACAACCCCACAATAATACATACATACTTGCATTTTTAATACAGTGAATTCATAAGATACTTACAATTAATTCAGTAAGGTTTGTTCAGGATATTGCAGGAAATTGCTATATCTGTCAGTCAGCATTGAAAACAATTATCTGCTCTTATGTCAAGTAATAAATATCTTAGCTTGTAATTTTAGAAAGCAGGATTATGAACGGCTGCATAACATCAGTCTTTATGCAACTATTCTAAAGGTAGCCAAATTTTGTGTTAACTGCATGCATGGGAAGTAATGTTGCTTAACTGAGGTGTAACCTCATGTTAAGCAAAGATCATGCTTCTATGCCTCTTCAGGGGAAAGTATGTAGATACTGAGTATCAGAAATGTCTTTCAATATTGATTACGTTTTCCTTGCAGGAATTGAAAGATGTGGGCCATCGTGATCAGATGGCTGCAGCTAGAGGAATTCTGCAGAAGAACATTCCTATACTTTACACTGCTTCTCAGGCCTGTCTGCAGCACCCAGATGTAGCAGCTTACAAAGCCAACAGGGACTTGATTTACAAACAACTGCAGCAGGCAGTTACAGGCATCTCAAATGCAGCTCAAGCCACAGCATCTGATGATGCTGCCCAACAGCAGGGTGGAGGGGGAGAGCTGGCTTATGCACTTAACAACTTTGATGTAAGTATTGAACCTCTTTCGAAAAAGTATAGCTTAAATCTGCTTGTAAATCAGTTAAAGGCGAGAAAAGCTCATGGGAGTAACTTTGATAACCATGAAATTGTATTTTGAGGGAGGATAATCTGTTAGTATTAAAGTACGGTAGTCTCTATATATTGCTATCTGAAAGATCACTTTGTACTGAAGGCCTCCTATTTTTGTGATCATCAAAATCTTTACATTGATATTAATAAAATTAGAATTTATGGCGACTGTAAAATACACATAAGAGCCATACTGATTCTGACTGGAGATTTGTGAATTGTCAAATTCAGAGCAAACTAGCCTTGTACGAACAAAATAAGAGACTTAATCACAATATCTTCTGGTCATTACTTTGAAATTCAATATAGCTTTAATGATTTAATACACTATAGCATGACAGTAAATATTCTCTACTATCTAATACATTATTGTAGTGTAGTAATAAGTAATGTGCTCTTAATAGCATGGGCTCTCACTACAATGCCACAAGCACTGTGCTGAAAAATGTAAGTATCGTGACCTTTGAGGATTATTCAGTTTGGAGATTATTCAAGGAGGAGGGATGTATGCTACAAGTGCTCTGAGAGACTAGTAGAAAACTACTGTTCCAAAAGTCCAAGTGATATGACTCATGATGTGCTACTTGGGTGCATTGGGATGAAATTTTACTGGAAACTCGTTTAGTATGAAGTATTTTTACTGGCACTTGTTTGTTTGTATTACTAGATGGAGGTCACCTCAATCACATACTTTATTGCATGCTTATTAGAGAGATTATTTGGGATACTAGATTAGCTTTAAAACTATTACTGATGGCAGCCTTGGTCTTGGTTTCTGTAGCTACAAAGACCTTTGAATAATAAAGAAGTTGTTAGTAATATACTTACTTTGGGAAACATTTAATACAGCTGTTTTTAAGTCTCTGTCACTTCCCACTATTCAGCTAGCCTGCCTCACTTTGGCAACTTTTACTTCCCCCTTTTTGGCCCTACCTCTTTTTCCTTTACCCACTGTCCTCTCTGAACATTTGTTCTCATACCCCTCCAAAAAAAGGAAAACAAATTAATCTAAAACAAATGCATATATAAATATGCAATAGACATGTGGCAGCCACCTTGCTCACTTTGCTTGTATATTAAATCTCTTTTCCCATACATTTAATCTCTAGGTTTTGCCTACAGTAGGGAATATGTACAGAAAACTCCACCTGTAGCTGGGTCAGCTGAACCAATGTTTGCAACATTTAGAAGTCTTAATATAGACTTCGGGCTCTAGCAGCTGCTTTTGGCACCATATTGATTATAGTTGCTCTGAGTACATTTAATGGACATAGTGCCTGAAAATGGCTTGCCAGAGTCAGCCATCTACACTAAGGTTCCCGATGTTGCTAACATTTGTGCATCTGAACCAAGGTTAGCAATGGTTAAAGAGGCTTCAGAGAAATTTCCAGACAGGTGTTTTAGGTTGTATCCTCTTCTGGACTCTGTCTTCCATTCTACACTTAACCTAATGGAATCCTCAATCTTGACTGGCACTTCTGGGTGCTAACATGAGATTGGCAATTTTATGATTAAGCTTTATTAAATAAAAGCATTCCATATTAAAGAGTAGGTTTGGGGAGATGGTAATGGTAGAACTGCGCTGTAGTTCAGCCTTTGGCTTTGCTGATTTAGCTCAAATCGTTTAATGTGGTGTTTCTAGTAGGACCAAGTACCTAACTTTCTTTGTTCTGCTAATTTAAATAGAAGTGGCTCAAGTGTTACATGGTGGGCTTTCTGGCCCTCAGACTTCAGGTAGTGAGTCTTCTCTTGCAGTGTAGTCAGTGGCTATTATTAGGCCAGTGTGAATAGCTGTAATAAGGCCTTTGCATGCCTTCACTGCCGACTAGAAGAAGGGGGAGAAAGAGAATAGGCGTTCATTTATACCAGTGGTTCTTAAACTTTTGTACCGGTGACCCCTTTCACATAGCAAACCTCTGAGTGTGACCCCCTAATAAATTAAAAACACTTTTAAAAATATATTTAATACCATTATAAATGCTGGAGGCAAAGCGGGTTTTGGGGTGGAGGCTGACAGCTCATGACCCCCTTCCCCCCCCCCATGTAATTACCTTGCAACCCCCTGAGTGGTCCCGACCCCCCCCAGTTTGAGGATCCCTGACTTATACAGACCTTCATCTCTCCAGGTAATTTCCTGCTAACAGTAGTAGAGAGTTCTTGTTGTATAGACTGTGCTTCCAGCTTACTGTGGTGTTAGAACTATGGTATCTTTTGGTGCTTCTTTAAAATTATATCTAGAATGCTGATTAACTATATCTGGCCCCAGTGCCGTATTAGATCAGTAGCATGTCAATGCTTGTATTGATGGGTCAGATTTGCAGTAACACTATAAATGTGTAGGAAGAATGCTGTAGTGTGCTTTAAAGAGACCGTACGTGCTTCAGAATTCCTATAAGTAGCTGTGGTGTCTTGGTAGAGGGGAAAAACTGGCTGCTACATGAAGTGAGTGCTCCTGGAGCTTAGTCCATGTTATGAACTGACTGTCTGAATGTCCGTTCAGAAGCTTCAACACTCTCTTTTTTCCAAAGCACCTAAAATGGCAAACCTCTTTC